TATTCTGTCCTATCAGTAGCTTCTGTCCACAATACAAGTTATGCATCAGGCGATCAAGTGCTGAGACACATGTATTTATTTCAGAACAACCCACAGTTTCCATGATCCACCTGGAAACTGGATTTAGACAACTTTAATTTCTCCAGTTGGATATGCTACTATAGCATCAATTACATTTCAAGTACCAGTATCAGACAGATGTCATAGCAGACAAGGTGGCAAAAATGCATATGACAAGTTGTATTCCAGAGAAACATAAAACAACAACCACTTGATGACAGGAGAGAAGCCAGAGTAATATCCGTTTTGATATTATGAGGCTATTACGAACCTCAGTGAACGTAGCACATAAAGCTGTTGCATTGTCTGGTATTTTCAAAATAGTTAACACTGCAGGCTTGAGAGAAAATAAATAGACAATCTTAGTTTCTTTGCAACTAAAATATCAGTTAGCAATTTAATTTTCAGCATGTTTGGTGTATGTTTGAAATCTTTCATAACACTTAAAAACCATGCCCCCAAATGTGCATAAAAGCTCTCGTAATCTTCCAAACTGTGTATCCCATAAATTTTAAATTAGGTTAAACACACACAAAGGTATCAATTCTGCATAGGTTTGACACCCTCGTGTGTCAGTGTTTCTGCAGTAAGGATCAGATCAAGTTGATTATATGTCCCCCTACAAATCAAATCATCAGAGGCATGCATTTTCTTGTCAGTATAAACTATTTAGATCATTTGTGATGTAGAAATGAGACAGGGCAAATGTGTTCTGAATACAAAGCTATCAGTCTTATCACTCCAAAAAAAGTAGGATTTTTAATTCAGAAAAGCGTATGGAAAAAAGGGAAAACAGGGTTCATTCCAGTACCTACTCTCTGTACTGGTGGAAAAGTAAAAGGGGTGCATCAGAGTTGAAAAGGGGTGCATCAGAGTGTCCATGTTCTGAGTTGCCAGGGGTTGTGGTAATTTATGGGTTTCGTAAATTATAGCTTTAACATATCTTTCAACTGAAGGTTTTTATCTTTGGAGAATTGCCCAGCTTTTTCAAGTGTGTAAGCAGAGGCTGGCACTAGCATGTTACAGTCAATTAAATTATCAGACATCTTGGACCTTTGCTAAGGGGAGCAGGGCATTTAGTTCAATGTGTTTTTAAAAGGAAAGTGGTTGGCATAAATCTGGCCTTTTGCATCAACTCTTCTCCAGTGATATGTTAGCATGAGCAGTGATATGTTAGCATGATCATTTCCCCCTCCAGATATAATTTAGGCTTGATTTCATTAGTCAACGACTGGATGTTGCAGGGAATAAAAGCTGTTGCCAGGTGACAGGGTTGGCAATGAAGTGAATAATTAAAGAAAGTTGCGCTGGCTGCTGACAAGGGAAAGTGAAGCTCACCACCCAGCCCTTTGGGAATACTGCCAAGCAAGTTCTTAAGCGACATGTGAGATTAATAGTCTCAGAAAAATAACCTACCTCAATTTATTAAAATTATTATGATCCATATCACTAATATGTGACATTTATTTGTATTCATAAAATCTGTGGACTTCCAAAAATTGTAGAAATATCTGAAATCTTTGTGCAGGAAAGACCAAAAAGAAACCTAAGAGAACATAATTTCAAACGATCTCCTCTTCTACTTTACAAATAGTTTCTATCTCAATTTTTCATTCCTCCAAACATTATGAGTCCTGAAAATTTAGTTCTACAAATGCAGGAATGTTTTGCCAAAGTTGAGATAAATATTTTCCAAATTGTGCTTTGTATAAGCACATTAAGGTCCATTTAATTTACAATGGAAAAAGAGAAATTACTACCAGCCCAGTTGAACTGAGAAACTTAAATATGTTATTGGCTTAATTCTTTAATATGTTTATTTGGTGTAATTAAAAATGTGGCTGGAGTGGTGGACCTGGCTTTGGGAGACTGATGTTCTTGACTCAAGTTCCACAGATCCATGAAAGTCATTGGGTGACCTTGGGCTAGTCCCTCACTCTCAACCTGGCCTACTTTACAAGGTTGCTGTGAGGGTAGAGAAGAAGAGAGCCACATACACTGCCTTGAGATCACTGGAGGAAAGATGGATATAAATTAATGGCGTACAAAAGTATCACTCCTGCGCTGTACCCAAATTTAGAGCATATAGATCAGGGCCAAGCCACCCTATTCCTTTCAGGAGATGTTCCACAAGTAATCTGCCTTGAAGTGACCCTTTCATCTATTAGAGAATCACTCTAGCCCAGCTTCCAAAAGTAGAAGCCCTACATTAGGGCTGAAAAAGTTCAGCTTGGGTATGGATTGAGTTTGGGTGGGAGTGCATCTCTCCAGGTGTTGTGCAGTTGCCAGGAAACAGATTGCACTGGCCCACTCCACAAGTATTTCAAGTTGCAGTCTATTATCCAAAGTGATCACACACTCAGTCTTCCACTCACGGAGCTGCAAGTTAACCCTGTCTCTTGAAGAGGCAGGTCCGGCATACCATCAAGTATTGTTCATAAATCTGCCCCCTGGTATTCTGTGCAAAGTTTATCCTGGGAAACATATTCCAGGATCAGATGTCTTACTCAAAGAGGGAGTATAGAAAGCTGCAGTTTGTCACCCCACAATAGTCACTGTACATTGTCCTCTTGAGTAAAATGCACAGAGACCTCAAGCTTTCAGAATGTGGTAGAACTGAGAGAGAGAAGTACAGCATCAGTGAATAACAGCTATCGGATAAAGATTGCCAGAAAGAAAAACAGCAAAAAGAACCTCCACCATTAATTTCTTTGGGGGGGGGGGAGAACATAGAAACCTGTAGTTAAGCATAACTGTATAGTAGTTAGGGCCAGCATATAATTTTGACACAAAGTTATTTTTTTCTCCAATGTTACAAACGCCACGCCTTTCAGATATTTGGTATGCAAGTTGATCATTGAAGGTCTTCTCCATGGCATTTCATTGATTTCATTAATGAGATCCCATCAATGACATTTGGTTGCTGTACATCTGTCATTGCTGTAGGCTCGGGCTGATGGTTTACTGAAAGATACAGTTTTACCTGATATAAACTGGCATGGAAGGTGATTGTATCTTGACTTGGGTTTATGAGTGATAGGTGTCATTCACTACCTCACTTCAGGTAGCAAAATATCTTGGGATATCTCTCGTAATGCTTCTCTTCAACAGTAGGGTATTAGCCTATGTCCTTAAATACATTATGTGTATTTAGGGACATATCACTAGTAGCATTTCTTTTGGTAAAAAAACATATCACTACATTGTGGTATATTTGTGCATGTGGGTGGGTCAAACTATGCATATCCTTCTATTCCCCTTTTTCATGGCCAGACAACAATGAAATGGGAAGAACCCTTGTGAACTGACCCATCGCCCAATCCATACTACAACAGTGAAGGAGAGCACCATAAGGAAACAGAATGGAAAGGTATGTGGGTGAATTTTTAGACTATGGTTGTTGAGTGATTCCCATGAGAATGATCACAGATGAACAAGAAATTGCAAGAATGGAGAGTCAGCAGTGATAACATGACACCTATATAGCAATTCCTTAAAGAAATCTCTTTTCAGTGACAGTATCACCCAGTATGAAAGTGTACAATACAAGCTCTCCTTGGCATGTTTGTTTTGACTCCATAAATGTAGCTTAAGTAAAATGGTGTCAGTTTGAGTTTACAGATAAGCATGCTGTGACATGTTCAGAATGAGTGCTATTTATTCATCTGTTTATATAACAGACACTCTTTCCATCTTGATAATGCAGTGGATATGCTTTAGTGTTTTTGAGGCTCAAAATAATCAATCTTTGAACCTTTCCCTTCCAGAATAAACCTTGGAGGAATGACTTCAGGATTTTGTGGGCAAGTTCATGCAAGTTTTAAAATCCTATATGGTCATTCTGATGTGGTGGTCCATGAAAATGTGTGTCACAACAATTGTGTTAATCTTGGAAGTAACACAAATCTTTTGTATACATTGATAGGACCGCTTTCACTCAGTGGTTTATGTCAGCATGGCATTGATCAAACTTTGCTGAGTTGATTAATATCCACTGATACTGACCATAGGAAGGGGCTTCCTAGAGCACAGTCAGCTTGCTCAGCCTGTCTATCTGTAAGTATAGCAGGTACCCCACTTCCCCCAGTTAGAAGCACTGTGGATGAGGCCTAAATGGATATCAATGTATGTGAAGAAGGCTCATTCCATGTGGGCATGAATCCTGTTCAACTAGGGGTGTGTGTGGTGTTTGGGTACGTTTTTGCTTTTGTTTTGCCAGAGGGGCATGAGCAATGTGTGTTTCTTGGTCTAAGGATGGGGATACCTGAGTGTATTCTTAGAAGTGTCACGACCTACTTGCAGGGTCCTCCCTAGAAGAAGGCATGCCTCAGTTGGAGGGTTGTGGAGATTTGCTGGAGGCTCCAGCCACCGGACCCTGCCCAAAGACACCAGAAGCAAAGCCTGGTCCAACTAACGAAGACTCATTTCCTCCAAAAGAAAGGGTGCCTCAGAGGAATAACAAAGAATACGGGAAGACCAAAGAACAGCTGAGATGAAATAAACTTCTTTGACAAAAACATTCCAGCTGATGTGAATAGCTGAGTAAAAGCAGTTGGTATGAGGATGGGTGCCCACGGTACCCACAAATAAAAGAAAAAAAATAAAGAGTAAACACTTAATAAAAATCAGATGTGGCATGAGTCAAAACTGACTTCCATCCAGCCCCAAAGGTGAGTTGTTTAATTCTTAAAAGTCTGGGAATGGATTCTTGCTATTTTAGTGCCCTTTGCAAAAACGTCTAAAAGGCTCATCTTTATCACATATATGTCAAGCAACTATAGCATGTCCCCTGCATGCTGGCAATTACAGATGGGGCCAAATATTAAAACAGATTGGCTTTTTTGATGAAAATAGCTGATTTGTTAAATATTCATCCCTTCATATTTGTGGTTTCCAGAGACCCCCACAAATACGAAGGGATGGATATTTACCCATTTTTATTCATCCTTTGCAAAGATGGCAGCTGCAGCCTCCCTATCCTAAATGAAGCCGCAGCCGCCATCTTTGTAAAGGGCAGCCAATCTATCTTTTTACATGCCGTGGATGGCTGTGTGTGTGGGGGGTAGCTGCCTTTCTGCTGCCTATCAGCTGATTGGCAGCCGGTAGGCAGAATGGTGTTTTGTTTTTGTTTTTTTAATAGGAAGGGGGTGTCAGTGGGGCGGAGGGGGTTGGAGAGGGGCTGTAGGGGTGTTTTTTAAATAACCCCCCATGAATCAACAAATAACTTCGCTATTCATCACTTCACGGGGGCAACTTCACCGAAACGGTGAGTTGTCCCCATGTCTACTGGCAATAACTGTACTGAATGAGTCTGGCCAATACAAATGGATCAAAATTTATTTCCATCTTTTGAATGGTAAGTCAACATTTGCTAATTATGTATCTGGAACAGAAAGAACCTGATGTTTAAAATTTAGATGGAGTAGGAGAGTGAAATTGACAGATTTTCCATGTCTAGACTTTGGCCTTTTCTGTGGTACTATGAAGAGCCAATTCTGAAGTATTTTTTCTTTACTGGAAGAAATGTTCAGAGAATTCTTTGGGAAACAAAATGAGAAGTCTGGTGGAATTTGTTAGAGGAATTTCTCCTCTATTACATGTCATTTTGGCACACCTCATTGCTGTTACCTCACTCTACCCAAGTTGGCCTTACTCACATGTAGCTCCCCCTCCAGTTGGACACATCCTGGATATTATGACATGACAATGATGTTAAAAAAAGGCATCCTAAGATAATTGTTTTACATTTTTACTTTTGAATAATGCAGCCATGAAAGACTGCAGCTTTAGCTTGTTATCAAGAAGCAGAGCACCACACACACACACACACACACACACACACACACACACACACAGAGAGAGAGAGAGAGAGAGAGAGAGAGAGAGAGAGAGAGAGAGAGAGAGAGAGAGAGAGAGGCCAATGGAGTTGTAATTTGTAAATGAGATTTTTTTTGTTTGTTTGCTTTGTGGCAAGGGATATCATCAGGTCCTGATGAAGAATTTCCAGTCAGCTCATGACCAAATTTATTTCTGACCTGCCTATCCAGCTCTCAATCTTACGTTCTCAATCAGCAGGCCTGGTTAAAATTCAGAAGGTAATCAGCCACTTGTGTTTATGTAGCATTCTTCATGGAAAGACCTCTGACAGCTTTACAGTCGTTAAGATCAAATTTTTAAAAACTCATCTTTGTAAATACAGGGATATGCATATGCATATTAATGTTGGCTTCACTATTACCCCTGACTAGGTGTTCTTAAACACATTTTGTGCTTTTTCAGGCTATGCTAATCTTCCAAATGGAGATTCACAGAAACATAGGATAATGAAGTTGGAAGGGGCCTATAAGGCCATCAAATCCAACTTCCTACTCAATGCAGGAATCCGAATCAAAGTATATCTGACAAATGGTTGTCTAATATCCTCTTGAACGCCTTCAGTATTGGAGTGCTCTCTGGAACAATACAATTATGTTGATTACTGCCACATAAATTACATGCACTGAATTTAATAGTGCACTTGTATCACTTGTGAATCAGAGGTACTTATGAATATTTAAGGTTCTGTACCCTCACTCAATAAAAATTCTGAGACCATGTTCACAAAACATGGTAAGTGAAAAGGGATAAACTTTCCTGTATGATACCATTTTAGATTTTTAAAAAAATAGTTGAGCAAATAACACAAATAAATAAAGTCCAAAGTTACAAATAGGAGAAGCTTCTGAACTTTACAGAACTTTTTATCAGACAAAAAATTGGTATAAAAGAATTCTAGTTCTGGAGGACTGAGAATCTTGTCCTATTTGTAATTTTAAATCAAATCTAATCAAGGAATTGTCCAATTTCATATTTTGTTTTTATGAATCGAGAACATGGCCATTTTTTTTGCATTTTCTATTAAAAACACCATGATTGAGTGTTCCTTGCATAATTATATTGTAAAATGCCCAGAGAATGCTCTAATACTACATTGTTGTTGTTGTTGTTGTTGTGGTTGTTGTTGTTGTTGTTGCTGCTGCTGCTGCTGCTGCTGCTGCTGTTGATGATGATGATGATGATGACTGGCCACTTTGGAGAAATCCTGCAGCCAGAGAAGAGACTTTACAAAATAAGAACTCTTGTTCTATACTCAGCAGGAAGAAATCCAAAATGTGTGGGGTGGGGAGGGGAGCTGGATTCTTACATAAATGAACAAAAAATAAAATTCTTCACCATTCCTAATTCTTCCTCATATTATATGTTTTGCCTCACCAGATGAGAAACTTTCAACCACATCATATATCTCATGAGCAACAGTAGATAGTCAGTTCCAGTCACGGTTTTATCTTTTCATCAAGTGTTTACTTGAAGAAAGTATGGCCAGGATAGTAATATTTAATCTTGTTAAGTGTTACATTGAGCTAGAATACAACAAAAATGAATAGAAAAAAAGAAATGGGAGTATTGCAGCACCTTTAATGCTAATACATTTATCTTCAGTATGAGTTTTTGTGGATTACAATCCACTCCACTCTCTGTCATATTTGATTAGCTTTCCATTGAGATTGCAGTGTGGCTGTTTTACCATCATCCCCTTCCCTTCAGTAAGTCACTGTGGCTTTGGGTGATTCACTTAATATTGTTTAAGCTTATAATTTCACCTGCTTTTTAAAAAAAAACTATTGATTTTCATGAGGTGTAGAGGTTGTCATACTCTTTGTAAACTGCATAAATCTATATTTTACCCGAAAACTTGGTCCTTGCCTGCAGTTATCAGTTTACAAGCATAGAGAAAAAAACCCATCATATGAAATTAAAAATGCATTATCAGCCTATCCAGCGAAGGAATGAAATTATGGATTCGGGATAAATCAATCATTGCTGTGGAAAGTGATAGCATTCTGGGGAGAACTAGTAGGGTTGTTTGCTTGCTTTGATTGCTGTGTGAGTTATTTTCCCCAGCAAAGTTGCTTTAGAGTTGCTATTGGTTCTCTCCTGATAGAAACTCAATCTGTGCTTTAATTGAACAATCTTTGGAGGTCCAGAATAGATTTTGTTGGGGAAGAGAGATTGTGTGTAGAAAAAACATACATACACAACACACATCCTAAACAAAGAGGGTGGAAAAGCAGCATACATGACAGTGATTCATTTGTGGAAAGAATATCAGCAATGTAAAATGCCTTTCACTTTACGTAAGATTATGGCTAACCCTGTTATAATTAGTGTTGGACAGTTTTATCTCCCGAGAACAATTGTATCACCAGGCTTTGTTATTTTGATGTGAAGCTCTTTCCCTTCATTCTTCACCGTGATTCCCAGGTGCCTTTTTAATGTTATTTTTCATTTGGATTCTTTTGCAGCTTGCTCAGTGTAACAATCTTCCTGAAGAGTGAAGAGAGAGCATGCACAGTTTCCTGGCATAAAGATTACTTTGATCAGACTGAAGGATTTAGTTCACTTTGAAGCTATGGCTTGTGGGCTAACTCAAATATTAACAATGGCAAGAACAGACCCATTGAAATCAATGGAATCTAATTTCATTGTAACAAACAACTGAAAGTTTATTTCAGTGTGTTTGTTTTAAGAAGAACTGACAGTGGAAGGTACCCAGTGTGATGTAGTGGATAGAGTGATGGAATAGGGCTATGGAGACCAGGGAAAACTTACTAGGGGAGTGGAACTGGTAAACCCACTCCTTTAATATCTCATTAGCTGGAAAGGCCTATTAGGGTCACTATAAATCAGTTCCAACTTGATGGCATGGAACAACCATGGAAGTGACCTTCAATTTGCTTGAAAGGTTTTTAGGATGCCTGAATTGTTTCTTATGCCTTTCTCTGCCCCTACCCCCTTTTAAATGTATGTGGCTACATTGATGTGTTGACAAAACATCCTTGCTGGCCGCGTACTGATCTGGGCCATTTCTTCCTATTTCCATGCTTTATTACCCTCTATGGAGGAGAACCCACAGTGCACTGCAGTGGTGGTCAAAAGACAGTTGGTGGACTGATGCTCTGTGTTTGACAGAAGTATACCAACACTGACATTCCTGTTTGAAAATTAATATTAAGGGAATCAAACGACACCAGGTGAGAGAAGTGGGACTCCATTCCAGATACATAGGAAAGGAATCACTTTTGGAATACACACTCAATGGAATGTTGGTTGTATTGTGTAATGAAATGAGGAACAAATATATTTCTATTTATTTATTTATTTGTTATTGGATTTATGTCCCACCCTTCTAGACAGAAGTCTACTCGGGTGAGAGAGGTGGGACTCCATTCCAGATACATAGGAAATGAATTAGTTTTGGAATACACACTTGTTATTGGATTTATATCCCACCCTTCTAGACAGAAGTCTACTCAGGGCGGCTCACAAAATATTGCGCACGAACAAATAAATACAACAATTAAAATCTACAATAATAATATGATCAAGATAGGATAATAAACAACAAAAAACAACAAAATATAGTAGTAGCCTCCCAGTGGGCTGGATTTGGATGTGGAAATAGCATGGAGGGGGAACAAAAAAATGGATAATGGCCTTGTCTTGTCTGAATCCTCCCAAAAATTGATCAAAATTGATAAGGAGTAACTCGAAAACATTTTGCTGGCCTTGTCTGAAACCTCCCAAAAGTTGATCAAAATTGATAAGGAGTAACTTGAAAACATTTTGCTAGCGTGACTGCAGCCTAAGAGCAGTTAAATTTACATTTCCTATTATTCCTGGAGATCTTCTTAATTTACCAAAAAATGATATTGTATGTATACTTAACTCATCTGCAAATGCAAATATACAATTTTTTTTGAAGGAGTGCAATATTTCTAGACAGATCACTTGCATCCTAGTATGCTGTTCCTTGCTTGAATTCCAGGTCAGTTTTCTATTGCGTTTAATCCTGATTTCTTAAGAAGAGACTGTCGTGCATCCTTAATTTTGCTTAGTTGGCTAAACTGCAAAATAACTTTGTTTCTCTCCCCCCCCCAATTTAACCAAACTGTTGATGCCTTCACAGTCTTCATCTGTAACTGCATCTTTGGTGACCTTTTTTTCCTTGGGAACCAAGCAGCAGCACATGCCTATGATTTGCCTTTGATCAAGTGCCATGATCTTGTGAATAAATTACTTGTCAGACAGATGGAGAGGGCTTTCAAGGACAGGGATGTTAAAAGGTCTAAAGCCCGGCAGAAGGAGAATAGCCATATTTAGGCACTATGTTTGAAAGTGTGGAAGAGCTCTAATCCCCCTAGGGGATGGTAGTAGCAATCAAGCTCCACTAATTTCTACCTGGAAGTACGGCAGACGTCAGCAAGTATAGTGGGAAGCACAATGGCACTCATAGGCACAATGAGTTGCAGTGGTGCTTGTAAAAACATTCAGCTGATTATGCTGCTTAAAACACTCCCATCATCGAAAGCCACACCTTATCTTTGCACTTGAACATGGGAGCACTGTAAGCTTGTTCTCCTGAATGTGCGAACAAGCGTCTCTGAATAATTTCACTCTGAACACATGAAGATCTGCCTTACCTCCAGGTGGGAAGGGGGACAATGTACCTCTAAGTCGCTACCACCCATTTAACCCTTCGTACTTTCTCATGTAATATCTTGATAGGGCTAATGCCAATTTCACCTTCCAGAACAATTTGGAGGACTGTAGGAGGTGGAACAGCTTTTGTGGAAGTAACTTATGGCAATGTTAGCCTGCTGGCTAAACTGCAGAAGCCTGTACTGCAGGATTAGAAGACCAGCAGTCGTAAGATCGGATCCACGCGACGGAGTGAGCTCCCGTCGCTTTGTCCCAGCTCCTCGCCAACCTAGCAGATCGAAAGCATGTAAATGCAAGTAGATAAATAGGTACCACCTTGGTGGGAAGGTAAAACGGTGTTCCCTAGTCATGCTGGCCACATGACAATGGAAAACTGTCTTCGGACAAGCGCGGGCTCTACGGCTTGAAAAAGAGGATGAGCCCCACCCCCTAGAGTCGGACACGACTGGACTGAAAATGTCAAGGGGAACCTTTACCTTTACTGTTTTTATTACTACAACCATCTATTACACCAGCCATTCTATTTTTCTTTCTTTTTTTAGCCACAACCATGAAC